AACAGCACCGGCCCCAGTACTGACCCCTGAGGCACACCACTCATCACTGGTCTCCACCTGGACATCAAGCCATTGACTGCAACTCTTTGTGTGCATCCATCGAGCCAGTTCCTTATCCAACGAGTGGTCCATCTGTCAAATCCATGTCCTTCCAATTTAGAGACAAGGACATCATGCAGGACAGTGTCGAATGCCTTGCACAAGTCCAGGTGGATGATGTCAGTTGCCCGCCCTTTGTCCACCAACGCTGTAACCCCATCATAGAAGGATGCCAAGTTGGTCAGGCACGATTTGCCCTTGGTGAAGCCATGTTGGGTGTCCCCATTCACCTCCTGTTATCCATGTGCCTTAGCATGGTTTCGAGGAGGATCTTCTCCATTATCTTGCCAGGCACAGAGGTGAGGCTGACTGACCTGTAGTTCCCCGGGTCTTCCTTTTTTTGCTTTTTAAAAATGGGGGTGATGTTGCCCCTTCTCCAGTCGGTGGGGACCTCCCTAGACCACCATAACCTCAAATGTGATGGAGAGTGGTTTGGCAGCTTCATCAGCCAGTTCCCTCAGGACCCGCGGGTACATCTCATCAGGCCCCATGGAATTGTGCACCTGCAGGTTCCTTAGGCAGTCTCGAACCTGGTCTTCTCCTGCAGTGGGTGGTTCTTCATTCTCCCAGTCCCTGTCTTTACCTTCTGCACCTTGGGCAAGTTCAGAGCACTTGCTGTTGAAGACTGAGGCAAAAAAAGTCAGTAAGCACCTCAGCTTTCTCCACGTCCTGGGTAACCAGGTCTCCAGCCTCCTTCTGGAGAGAGCCCACATTTTTCCTAGTCTGCCTTTTATCACTGACATACCTATAGAAGGCTTTCTTGTTCCCTTTGACATCCCTGGCCAGATTTCTTTCTGTCAGGACTTTAGCTTTCCTAACTTGCTCCCTGGCTACTGGGACGATTTCTGTGTATTCCTCCCAAGCTACCTGTCCTTGTTTCCATCCTCTGTAGGCTTCCTTTTTCTACTTGAGTTTGGCCAGGAGCTCCTTGTTGATCCATGTAGGCTTCCTGGCATTTCTGCCTGACTTCCTCTTGGTTGGGATGCATCACTCCTGAGCTTGAAGGAGGTGATCCTTGAATACTGACCAGCTTTCTTGGGCCCCTCTTTCCTCTAGGGCTTTATCCCATGGAATTCTAACCAGCAGGTCCCTGAGGAGGCCAAAGTCTGCTCTCCTGAAGTCCAGGGTAGCGAGCTTACTGTGCACCCTCCTTGCTGCCCTAAGGATCTTAAACTCCACCATTTCGTGGTCACTGCAGCCAAGGCTGCCCTTGACTTTCACATTCCCTACCAGCCCCTCCTTGTTGTGAGAACAAGGTCCAGCATTGCACCTCTCCTCATGGGTTCCTCTGTCACTTGGAGGAGGAAGTTGTCCTCAACGCATTCCAGGAACCTCCTGGCTTGCCTGTTTCCTGCTGTGTGGTCCCTCCAACAGATATCGGAGTGGTTGAAGTCCCCCATGAGGACCAGGGCTTTTGAACGTGAGGCTTCTCCTGTCTGCCTATAGAGTGCCTCATCCGCTCACTCGTCCTGGTCAGGTGGCCTGTAGCAGACTCCAACTGTAATGTCACCAGTCCCTACCCTGCCTTTAATCTTGACCCATAAGCTCTCTGTGGGCTCCTCATCCAATCCCAGGCGGAGCTCCATGCACTTCAGCTGCTTTTTGACATAGAGGGTGACACCTCCTCCTCATCTCCCCTGTCCATCTTTCCTAAAGAGCCTGTATCTTCCCATCCCAATACTCCAGTCATAGGAGCTGTCCCACCACGTCTCCGTAATGCTGATGATATAGCCCCACAGATGTGGCACATCACTAGCTCCTCTTGTTTATTCCCCATGCTACGTGCGTTTGCATGTCCCTAAGCTCCTCATAAATAACAGATGTGCTTCAGTTAAGTCAGAGCGACTGGACTTGAAGCAGCAATTAAAACAGAAGAATAAATCTGGTGGCTTGGCTTCTACAGGCTAGTAATGAATTGGTGAAGCTGCAAAGTGGAGCCTCCTACCACTTCCTGACAGTCATTAGGGAAATGTTACAGGATAAAGCTCCCATTTTCTGGATTCTTCTTTTTATTTAATTGTATTTGTGCAAAACTGAAACACTGATTTTTAAAGTTAGTTGTCACAAGTAAACAACTTAGTACTAGCTGGCTATGTCAGCAGAAGACCTAGGAGTTCTGTAAATAGAAAGACTAGGATAGAAAATACGCGTTTGCACAGCCCATTTGAAGCGCTTGCTGTGTTGCTTCAGCATCCTGTTCCCTTGATCCTGACAACACCTGTCCTCCGTGTCTGCCCCACTCTCTTGGAGCAAGAAGGACTCTCCCCAAGCAGAGGGAGGAGGTCAGCGTTGCGGGGAACTCGGCCATGGACGTAGCTGAACAGCACCCAAGAAGGCTATGTACGCATAGGTGCTGTCCGGCAATGTCCATCTGTACACAGCACAGAGCAGCTGGATGCTTGTATTGTCTTGGGGACATTATAGAAAATAGTAGCTCTTATGGGATCTCCAAATTACTATGAAAAATGCTTCAGGAACACAGTGTTTCTTGAATCACAGAATCACAGAATGGTAGGGGCTGGAAGGGACCTCTGTGGGTCATCTA